TAAATTATACTAAATCCTTTATCTTAAAAAAAGAGCACTTGTCGGCCCAAAAAGATTAAAAATAAAAATAAGAATATATTAAAAGAAAAAAAATAAATAAAGGGAGGCAAAGAGAGCACTTTATCATAGTCGCGAGACGTTCCTAATTTATTAATTTTAGAAGGTGAAAAACAATAAAAACAATGCAATGTACAAACGCCGATGAAATTGTTCTTCTAGAGTCCCCTTTGCAAAACTGCAACCCTGTTTACAGAACCTCCAAGCCCCGACGATGGCTCAGCAAGACGAAATTCTCACAAACCGCATGATGCTTCCCGTCACCCAAATTCAACCACCCCCACCGCCGTCCACGCAAGAGAAGCTTTCCACCAAGCGCCGCCGCGATGAAGGGGAATCCGCGGAAGACACTGAAGAATCGGCTCCAAAACGGCAAGCAAAAGCTCAGGACGTAATTTTCCGTATCGTTGTCCCTTCGAGGCAGATCGGTAAAATCATTGGGAAAGCAGGTCATAGAATCCAGAAGATTCGAGAAGAATCTAAAGCCACCATCAAGATCGCTGATGCAATTGCTGTGAGTTGACACTAGGGTTTTTGTCAAAAAGATTACTTTTTTTCTTTTTAATAAGTATAAATTACTCTGTTCGTATAATTCTGATGTTTTTCAGAGACATGAGGAACGTGTTATCATTATAAGTTCTAAAGATAATGATGAACATATGGTTTCTGATGCGGAAAATGCCCTCCAGCAAATAGCTAATATAATCCTAACGGTAATTTCTTTTTGTTTGAGATTATTCAATTTAACATATTTTCATTGATTTGATGATTAAATCATGTTTGTAGAACAGTGCTTTATGTGTTATATTCATTTTCATAGAATCAGTTATCAGTACATCCATTTTGGTTTTAGGGGCTTCTCAATTGTGGGTTATTTTCCACTGTAATATTTACCAGGAAGATGATGCCAGTAGTGAGGCAGCAAAAATGGGTGCAGTCGGTTCAGGACATGTCGCTGCCAATACTATTAGACTTTTGATTGCTGGGTCTCAAGCAGGCGGTCTCATTGGGATGTCTGGCCAAAACATTGAGAAATTGAGGAGTTCATCTGGTGCCACAATAACAATTCTTGCTCCGAATCAATTGCCTCTCTATGCATCTGCTCTTGAATCAGATAGAGTTGTGCAGGTTAAGTATAGTTAACGAGCCAAGCAATCTGTTTTTGAAAAATGTTGTGCCTTTTTAAAGAGAATTTCATTTTTCGTTTATGTATGGAACCTCATCTTGCTTTTTGTCTGTACTCTACTTTTTCCGTTGTTGAGCAATGATTAACGTTTGTGTTAAACTCAGATATCAGGTGATGTTCCTGCAGTTTTGAAGGCACTGACAGAGATTGGTTATCAACTCAGGTATAACATTGAGCGTTGTGTATCATTAACTGATGATTCATGAAGTTATCTCTTGCAATTTTTTGTGTAATTTATGTGTTGATTCCATCCTTAGGGAAAACCCACCTCGGCAAGTGATCTCAATTAGTCCAGCATATAATTATGGCTTGATTCGGCCAGCTCAGCCATACGTGGACCCAACTTCAGGTTATTCAATATTTCTTATTGAAACTAGTCTTAGCTTTCAACTGCTACATATATGGCTATATCAAGTTTTAATATTTTTTCTTATAACCACATCATCTTTAGGACAACCAATCTTGCAGCTGATTATGTTACGTTCACAATGATGATCTCGGAGACGATGGTTGGTGGATTGATTGGAAGGTGTGGCTCCAATATTTCAAGGATCAGAAGTGAGTCTGGAGCAATGATAAAGGTATTATGCTGACCTACAATTGTTATGCAGGCAATCTTGCTGCTATATCAAAGCTTTATTACATTGTTATGCTATCAAAAGTATACAGTAGTTCTCAAATACAAGTTCTTAGCTTCTGATCATACTATTAACTTTTGTCTTGGCTTCTTTCTCTTTTTTGCAGGTTTATGGTGGGAAAGGTGAACAAAAACAAAGGCACATCCAGTTTGGTGGTAGTGCCCAACAGGTTTTTTTTTTGTTCTCACTTACATGGAATAAAATTTATTGAGCCCTTTTCTTCAAGTACGAAGATTTGCAGCAATCTGCCATTGAATAATATGAACTGCATTGTTACTCAGTATTTGCTTTTTCTATTTGCGTTTGTTTTTTTTCTCCATGTTTGATGACAAGCTTTTTTAAACTGTTGAAATGATAGTTTTTATGTTCTTGTTGTTCTATGGTTTGACATTGTGGATGCACACTAGGTTGCATTAGCAAAGCAGAGGGTTGATGAATATATTTATTCTCAGGTGATGCAACAAGCTGGTGCTGAACAAACAGGGTAAGTGTTGTTTGGCCACAATGGTCATTTTTACTGATGTTGTGGATGGTTTTGATTTCTCCATCCACCTTCAAAGAGGTTCTAGGCATTGTTTACTAGCTAGATGAATTACCATAAAGCAAAAACTGTGGTTTAGCACTTTTTAGCACCTTAAACAGGCAATGAAAGAAACTATTGTGTGTGAATGCAGGGCCTATACTTTTGGGGCGTTGCCAGGCTAGTGAATAAGCATTCTTCTCAGCTCCACTTCACAAGGATTATGAAGTTGGCTTGCTTTCTTTTCTGTATCTGGTCACTGCTTTCTTAATGCCCTTACTTTTTGCACCATAAAAGTGAGTGTGTCATGTGGTTGGTGGCTTTTCTCCATGGATAGACAATGATGGCTCAAATTTTAGTTCTAGTTTTCTTTTTCCCCACTTTTATGGAGGAAGGCCTTGTATTCTATTTATCACCTTTGCAAGAGATTCATAAATCAAAAACAAGTTGACAAACATAAACATTCTGTAAAGAGGGTGGTGTTTTTTTTTTTTTTGGCAGAAGGGTTGTTAGTAACTGTTTCAGCATCTAGTTTCAACAAATGAAAGGCAAATTTCATGTGGGGTATTGTGCTTTTGTGTGGACGTTAAGGTTTCATGCGAAGATTTCATCTCGTTGAATTAAGTTTCGATTGTCAGTGT